CATTTCGGTGCAAAAAGAGCAAAGCCGTGTCGGATCGGCGAGTGGCCAAGCAAGGTGCCCTGCGGGACTCGCACTCTGAAAGCAAGTCAATATTTCACATCATGTCGGTATTAATTAGACTCTGCATAACAGATTTTTTACACCAACTATCGTGAAGTACGTCCAGACATGGTTTGACCTCAGTTGCACTTGCAGCATATGTCTGCAGAACTCCTTTCATCTCGCTAAGCGCTGCCATGAGCTGATTAGGGCGCATGCAGAAAAGAAGAGTGGACCTTTAAAGCTGCTTTTTTTCTGCCTTAATGTCTTTGACAAAAGAAGCACGTACATTAAAAGATCAAATGTCTTACGACAATATAACATGTTTGGTCAAAATAAGAAAATAGGACTACAAATCACTGCTCATGAGTAGAACTGTTTTAATTATATTTTTGTGGTTGCTTATGTTCCTGTAACTTGTAATTTATGTATTTTGTATTTGTTGTTTTTATCATCTTTTCGATTAAATTCTACTCGCGACATCGTTGTAAATGAGCGCCCTCGTCATTAATCGAGATTAAATAAAGACGGAATAAATGAATTAATGAAACAGCCACAATCAAACTTCATTCCACATGTTTCCAAACACAGGGAGGCAAAAATGTCGCTGGATATTGTCCAATTCTTCAAAATTACAGCTCATTCCTCCCGATGAAATACTGAAGTCAATATGCAAACATCCATGGTCCCAATCAGTTATTATTTCCCCGTGATAGAAGAGGGAGTTTTGGTGTTTTCGGTGTCTTGATTGAGGGAGGCAGAGACTCAAAAAAAGATGGGCCCAGCGTTAAGTAAACAGCCCATGATGATCTATTTTTTTTTTCCCCTCCAAATTTCAAATGTGCCCTTTGAGAGAGGCGCGATAAAGAGAGGAGGGGAGGGGCGTTGTGTGTGATAAACAAAAAAAAGGCTGATCTGCAAAACAAAAATGCCAGCTCGTGTGACTGTGTTTGCATTACGAGCACGGATGATGGAAACGCTAGAAGATGGGAAAATTAAAATGCATGCAAGCAAGCTATTTTTGATGTCTTAAAGGATTTTTAACACTTAAATATAATATAAATCAAGTATAACTGAAAATAACTCTGTGAGTCATGACTGTCTACAATGGGTGTAACACCCGAGTCCCACTGTCTGTGATGTTTTCAGAGTTTTCAGAGTCCTATCTTCAGTTTGTTTACATCGCCGGGACGGCCGGCTGACTCCTCCCCTCGTGTATAAAAGTTGTTTAATTGAGGGACTAGAGAAAAGAAGAATAACATACTGTACTCACTGCTTAACTGTGTTTCTAGATCACGCTCATTTCAGGTAAATTTACATGCAGTGTGAAGATACGAGCATAATAAAGATCGCTAGCATTAGCATGCTAACACAACAATGCACCGCAAGTTGTTTTTGTTTCATGCTGGAGCTCAAGGGCGACATCTGCTGGATCAAAAAATCACATATAAAGCCTTTAAAGATGTTGCTTATTTTTTATCTTCATCTTCACAGCTTGGCCAGACATCGCTTATCAGTCCTTGTTAACTTGAGTGCAGAGCTTTCTAAGTGCAAAAAAAAAAAGACTAGAGAGGTGGGACACCTGACTCGATATTCATATTTTAGACCTATAGCTGCTGTATTCAACGCACCGGGAGGGAGAATTTGTTGGCAAAGTTTACACGAACACCTGAGCTTTACAATAATATCTTAATCAGAAAACCATTGGCATTAGTCTGCTGCCATAATAGCCTCCGGTTTTTGGAACCTGGCTGCAGGGATTTGCTCCCATGCATGATAAAAATGTATCTCAAGAGTCTGCATGCCTAATTAATTCCTTTCCAAGCCAACGGGGGGGGGGGGGTTATCGTCATGGTGACACAAGAAAAGGGTCGAACTGAAACTGTTGTGCAAAGTCGGGAAGAAGATTTTCCAAACTAGCGCTGTGTGCTGTAGCATTAAAACTAAACCTCCTTGGGACTATCCAAGCCCCAGACAAACGTGAACTTTTTGTTTATAGGACAAAAAGTACACAACAGGAAGAACATGTAGCGAAAAACAAATGGTGGCAGAGGGAAGAAACATCTTCACGCGGCAAACTGTATCTGGAGAAGAACGCTGTAAAAAAAAAGTAAATAGTGAGGAAGAGTGTGAGAAGCCGGGGTTTTTGTTTTCCATCTGACACTGACGGATAACTTAAGCCTGGATGAAGCAGCGTCTGGACAGTCCAGACCTTTGAGAAATCCTTTGGATTAGCCGGAGGAGAAAGCACATCAACACCACGCACTCATATCCCCTGACAACACCATACACACTGAGTGTAGAGGGACGGATTCTCCATTATTGTTTAATTTATTGGATTTATTGTTTTTTGGGGGGCCATATTGCCCAATGTTAAACTATACCAATTTTAAAGAGCAGCCTTGTTTGAAGCTTTACCATTTATTACTTTATTCAAATAAGGGATTAAAGAGCAGACAGAGGAGAGTTTGTTCCACTTTTTAAAGACGTTTGTAATCCTTCAGTTGACCTTAAAGTCGGCATGAAATTAAAAAAAATTATATTTCAAGTTGTTTGCTATTTCCTTTTCACACCATAACATAATCATATGTAACAATAAACACCAAAATATGTGTGTGTGCATTTGTTTCGAGAGACAAAACAACAAGAAAAAGTTGTATTTCTGGTGAGCTCACGCTTTACCACACATGTGGAAATACAACTAAGACAATAAAAGTGTTTTTTATTTCTTTGAAATCACTTTATTTTATAGGTTTGATTGATCATCCTTGCATTATGTCCTGTTTTTATGGTTGCACATCAAATTAATGATGAGGCACGATGCATGCTGCCAAAATGTTCCTCCACATTGAAGGTATGTTGTTTAGCTTTATGTGCGATTTTAAAAGAATATTGTAAAAGCAGAACTCCTTAAATGAAATCCCTGAATCACAGTTTTAATTTGAAATCCTTGAAAAAAAAAAAAAGTTGAATTCCAGTGAAATGAGCTCATCTCAAGGCTACAGTTTGCTTTTCATAAAGTCACGTTTTCAGGATGAACATTTTTGCTGCGTGACTGTTTCACCTCGCTTTGTGTGATCAAGGTTTTTCTGCTGATAACGAGCACACAGTGGCAGACTGGAACCAGCTACCATGTTGGAGGAGCACGCTCGAGCTCTGTCGACAAAAAAAAAAACAACAAAAAAAAAAAACCCTCTTCTGCCTCCTCACCAAGGCCTCCTATTCATGCTGCTGGAAAAGCTCCCACATGCTGTCAGTGGAAACACAAGGGATGACCGTGGGTGCCTCAAAAGAAATTCAAACAGAAAAAAAAAAACGGGAAAAGAAAAGGAAAGCTACTGTTTCTGTCAATGCAGGCGGGGGGGAAACAAGTTTCAAATAGAGCTGGGGGGTTCCAACATGTATATTTTCTAGTCCCATATTAAGATCTCACCTCGGTTTGATGTGTTGTGTAGGCTTAAACCAATCAGATGGTACCTTATAACCTTCCTTTTCATTCTGTTTGCTGATTCTTTTTCACAATGTTTCGCACAAACTTGCTACTTCAGCCAAGGATGGAGCCCCAACAGGCCAAAGCTGCACCGTATTTGCAGAGAATTCACCTCAGCATCATCCTCAGACTAGCATTTGCCCTTTTTTGAGAGGCAGGAAATATTAGGGCAGAAAGTGGGGATTACATGCACCAAAAGGGCCTAGGGCTGGATTTGACCCCATAGGGCAGACGCAGCAAGGACGTCACCTCTGCACTTAGGGCAAGCTCTCTTTGTACTGATACTGCTTTTTCTCTGAGTTTTAAAAGTATAAAACGCAGCTTATATGCAACTCTTTGTTTTAGGTTGAATGCTTTACTTTTTACTGTATAGTTATTTTGCACCTTGCTGGACCCCACAGGAAAACCATCCTTACATTGTTATAACTGAGAACATTATTTTAAAAGTTTCCACTCCGAATGTCCGGCTGACATGTTACACAATGTAAATTAATTTAATAATTGCTTCTTGGGTTTAAGCATGCGACGCACAAGGCTAAAATACCAGCATGGGGATCGTGGACCAATGGGTGCCTTAAGACTCCTCCGAGGTGACACTTATTTAAAGTCTATACTTCACTTGTTGAGGAATAAAGATCATAAAAGGAGATTGAATAAAAAGTTGACAAAAGATTTGACATCCCACGATTTCATAATAGAGCACAGACTCCTGGTAAGTCATAATAAAAATAGTTATTTCAACTCTCCCTTTAGTCCTAGAAGATCAATAAGTCACAAATCGGTTGCAGTAGGTTTTGATTAAAATAACAATAAAAAATGCCAAATATCAAGGCTTATAGGCCTAATAGTATTTTTTACTTGATAATCTAACCTGGAGAAATCAATGGGTTAATTCAAATAAAAACCATGATACAGAGACTATATGTAAATGTTTTTATCTGCCTTTTATTTGCAATAAAATGCCAAGTTTTTATGTTTTTTGGAAACACAGAGCGACAATCTTGAGAATTGTGCATATAAAAAAATTGAAAAAAATAAATAAATAAAGGGGACTGTAGCATCCCTTTTCCCTGTTTAGATAAACTGTTTTGTTTCAGTGATAGGCCAACTTATTTTCCTTTTTTTCTGGTAGTCTACTTTTGAAAGAGAGTGGACATCCAAAGGAAGAAACGATCTAAACACGATCTTTCAGCGACACCTGCTGGACAAGAGGCTACATTACATTCAACGTCACTTAAACGAAAGGTTAATTTTATAGATAGTTTAAACATTCAACCTACATTAAACGCGTCTTAAACATACTGAAATCAGAAGTTTTAAACGTCGCATTACAATTGTATTGCCCTTCAAAAACGACCTGTGACAGTCACGGTTTTGGTAACCTTAGCGACATGACGTACAGCCAATCACATCGTGTCTTCTTCCCGCTCTGACCAATCACAATCAAGCATGTTTACGGGTCGAGGTTTAAGCTTGTTGCGGATGTTAAAAAAATTGCTCAGCACGTCCTTGTAGAGTCGTATAGCAGAGAGACGAGCACAACTGCGCAGGAGATGACTTTCAAATCGGCGATTTGCGCAGTTGTTGCCGCCATTTTTTTATGAACGCAACTAACCCAACGTGTCAACAGTATCGTCACGGACGGCGTGGAGAGGAGAGGACACGGAGCTGGGATGCTGGACTTAAATAATGAGACGTTACCGACGACTTTGAATTCATACCGTGTGTTTTTATAGCCGAACACGTCGGCAGTAGATATATTATTAGATTATTTACGCGGCTGACAGCGCCATGTTTCGGCAGACGAAGGCGGTGCTCCAGAAACTTCGCTCTGTGAGGTGAGTCAATGACGTCACAGAGTCTGTAGTTTAATCACTTGAATCTTATTTCAGTGTTATTCACCTTTTATTATCACCACACTGTTTATCTACTGAATGTGAAATATGATTTGATATCGTCTTAAATGTAGGAAACGGTGCTTTGGCGCCCCCTTGTAGCACTGGGCCTTATGACCTCAAATCAATATCTCGATTAATTGATTAATTGAAAAAAAAATCGATTGCGATTAATGAACGATTATTTGTTTTTTTTGCCCTCATAGTTCACTGACATGGTCTCTCTACTGTAAATATGCTCAGCTTGGATATGTTTTCTAAAGGAAGAGTCGAAATACATCTGTCTAATACATTAATTAATAATTCTGTTTATCTACTGAATGTGAAATATGATTTGATATTGTCTTATATTATGTGCTGTGATGATGCAACATGACATGAGAAGTCATCTCTTTCAGCATTTTACATTTAAACATCTAGTACTACTATCAATATTAAAGGTATTGTATTACTGGGGTATCATAACTAGGTATGCCCCCCCCCCCCATAGCACATAAATGATATGTTAAAGCCCCCACCACCCCTCACCAGGGCAGGGCGATATGACCTCAAATCAATATCACGATTAATTTAACATTTTAAGGCAAGGCAAGTTTATTAATATAGCACATTTCAACAACAAGGCAATTCAAAGTGCTTCACACAAGACATCAAAAAGCTTCATGACAGAGGAAAGAAAATTAATAATAAAAAAAACAAAAAGAAAAACACTGGATTTATAAAGTCTGAAAATATGTTCAAGTAAAAATAATTCAAATAAAATTAATTGAAATAAATAAAGTAAAAATATAAAAAGAGTTAAAAGTTACAGTGCAGAGTAAATGTTTAAAGTCTTATTAAAGCTGTTGAATGAAAGGCAGCTGTAAACAGGTGAGTCTTCAACCTGGATTTAAAAGAGCTGAGAGTTTCAGCAGACCTGCAGTTTTCTGGGAGTTTGTTCCAGATGTAAGGAGCATAGAAACTGAACGCTGCTTCTCCATGTTTGGTTCTGACTCTGGGGACAGAGAGCAGACCTGTCCCAGACGACCTGAGCGGTCTGGATGGTTTGTAATTAATCAGGAGGTCTGGCCCTAAACCTTTTAAGTGCTTTGTAGACCACCAACAGGATTTTAAAGTCTGTTCCCTGACAGACTGGGAGCCAGTGTAAAGACCTCAGAACTGGACTGATGTGATCCATTTTCTCGGTCTTGGTGAGGACTCTTAGCAGCAGCGTTCTGGATCAGCTGCAGTTGTCTGACTGATGTTTTAGGCAGACCTGTAAAGACACTGTTACAGTAATCAGGACGACTGAAGATAAAAACCTGCTGGGACATAAGTCCTCTAAATGATTAATGAACAATTATTCATTTTTTTGCCCTCATAGTTCACTGACATGGTCTCTACTGTAAATATGCTCAGCTTGGATATGTTTTCTAATGAAAGAAAGAGTGATGAAGTCAAAATGCATCTGTCTAATAAAGTTGATATTCATACTACAAGTGCTGCTGTTTCTTTTTCACTCTTCACTCTCCTTGCACCCTGGTAGTTAAAGTTTCTGCTTTAAATATAAACTTACTGTCAGAAAGTTGTGTATGAGGGAATCAGCTGTTTTACACTGTGAGAATAGTATACAGCAAATTATCAAAAATCGATCTTCATTTGTCTTCTTCAAGGTGTTTTCTATTATTACCTGTTATCTTAAACCTTTGTTTTTCATCCCAGCTTCTACGGGCAGCAGAGTACCTGGCGACTAAAGAGCACTTCAGCAATAGAGAGGGCCAGTCAGTACCGACCCGGACAGAAAATCCATGGATTCACAGTCAGAGAGGTGGGTGAAATGCTTCAATTCAATCAATGTCATCCGATTATTTTCTATTTGCCAATTAAAAGCTTTGAAAGAAATGTTGTATGAACACTCAGGAGGCTAATTCAGTGGACGAATGCTCTACATGTTGATCAGCAATTCAAAAGAAAATCTTGTTTTATAATTGTTTGTATCTTTATATTTGTATTGACCTTGTTGTGTATGTGAGGTCTAATTCTCTGACTGAGACCGTGAGCCTTCATGTAAGATAACTGGTGTTGCTCTTTCTGTCGTTGTTTGTTGTTTTTTTTCAGGTTGTTGCCGTCCCTGACTTGTTCCTGACCGCAGTGAAGTTGACCCACGATAAAACTGGAGCTCAGTACCTCCATGCAGCCAGGGATGACTCGAATAACCTCTTTAGGTTGGTTTTAAGTGTATACTACTTCTTCAATTTTCTTTAATGATTGTAGTAGTGTTGTAGTAAATTGTTCTCAAGAGCTGTCTCGAGACTGCTCTCTGTCTCGGAATTGATTTTTTCTCGGTCTCAGACTGGGCGGACTCTAGATTTTAAATCATGACCAGTCAAGACCACCACTGATTGGCTATTTTTCAAAGTCATTACTGTAATTGGAAGGAAAACGTCTCTTGATCTTGCCTCCGTCTCGTCCTGCCTTGGTACTGGTCTTGACTTGGCCTCGATCCCTAAATGTCTTGGTCTTGTCTCGGCCTCGGCACACTCCGGTCTCGGGTATGTTTTGGTCTCGGTTAGAGTGCTCCTGACTACTACACTAGATTATATGTTTTACCTGTGTTAAAGATTCTCCCAGTATGAATTTGAAATGTAGATCAGCCAACCGGTGTATCTTAAAGAAATTCCACTTATACTTGTTTCTGTATTTCAGTGTCCTGTTCAGAACGACCCCCATGGACAGCACAGGGGTCCCACACATCCTGGAGCACACAGTGCTGTGTGGATCTGAGAAGTATCCCTGCAGAGACCCTTTCTTCAAGATGCTGAACAGGTCCCTGTCCACCTTCATGAATGCTTTCACAGGTATAAAACACTCATCCTAAAATGATTTAGTTACATCATATAGATTTACTGAATGAAAAACTGATGAGACTAACTCTAAGAACGAGTGAGTCAGTTAGACTTTTATGTGTTTTTCTGTCAGGACTTTCAACCTCACTGTCATGTTTAAAGTATTAAAATAAGAGTAGCGTTCATACCAAGTGGCAACCTTGAAAGTCCTGCAGTTTGACGAGGGTCCGCTTGAGGCTGGCTCCAGGAAGTCACATGCACACCACAGCCAAAAAAACAGTTTTTACAGCATGAATAAACATGTTTACAGCCTGGTTTGAAAATGGTTTTGATCAGTAAAAGTCTTAAAAACAAGACATCTTCTAAAATTTTACTCTCCACTAAAAGTCTGTTTAAAAATATATCTAATTCATTTTATTTTATAATTCATAGAGTTTGTTGCTTTGATTTTCAGATGCAGTGTCTTCCACATATGAGGAGCGTTAAAAACATATTCTTCATCACTTTTTTTTGTCTGATAATATTTCCTGCAGCCTTCAGCCTCTGTGCTTTCTGATTAGTATTGTGTTATGATGACCGAGAAGTCTGACCGAGAAGTGTATATAAATGAACCTTTAGATTGCATCTTTACATAAGTGAAACAGCAATGATACTGCACAGATAATAGAACACGTGTCATCATTAGCACAGACAGCCTTTATGGCTTCACCCAGAGGTGGTGAGTATCTGAAAAATGTAAGTTGTACAACGACAAAGTTTGGCTTTTGTATTTATTGAAAGGCTTTTTGCAAAAAGGATCAACACAGAGTTTTGACAAGATACAAAACTGTTTCCCAGCACCTTTACACCTTTGCTATATTCAGATGGTAAACCCTCCCTAAGTGGAAGGATGGACGTAAATTAGAAACGTAGTGGAATAGACACCTGGTTTACCAGTAGTCTCACACAGGAATGATATTAGTATACTTTTACTGACTGTGATTTGGAAGGGTTTCCATTAGCTTGGAAGCATTTTACAGAGGGTCAAAAGATCAGAAATGTGTTAAGAAGAGACATTTCCATTACACATGAAAGAAGGGAGTTTCTAATAGATAAACTAAACTATTTACAGAGCAACACAGAGTATCAATTATAATGCTGAAGTTACAGGTGACATGTGTGCAGTGATTAACGACATGCAATAACAATCAGCTTTTAGCAACAAATGTGAACATAATCAAGCTGATGAATTAAAACACTAAAATCAACCCACTGTTCTCTGCCTCAAATGACTTAAGTGTATTTCAGTTTTATGAACTTAGCAGTGACTTCAGCATTATAAAACCTGAGTCCAGCATGTAGAGGCTGAGTGAATGTGGTCTGGACTCTGTGGAGGAGAGTCATGGTTTGAGAGATGCTATAGAAAGACAGAATACCTGCTCTGTGATCCAGGTACACTCCGATTCTGGGAGACCAGGGACCTGAGACAGGAGTTTGGACACTGTTGTGCATTAAGTCATAACAGTTTTTGTAACAATATAGTACCCAAGATTGGTCATTGTGTCCAAAACCACATTCATTCAAGCTCCCTGCTCTGCTGATATTCTTGTATGCAACTGCTACACAAACTCCGTCCCCAATCCACTCCACCTCCCAGTAACAACGTCCAGTCAGACTCTCTTTACTCAGGACCTGATCATAATTAGTGAATCTGTCTGGGTGATTAGAGTATGGCTGCTTTTTACTCGAGAATTTTGATTCTTTGTTCTCCTTAGATAATAACAGGTTCTTGGATGTTGTGTTTGGATCCAGTGTGATGTCACATGAGTATTTTAAGAAATCAGCTCTGGTCTTGGGCTGTGGCTCTGATAGTAAAACATCCACTTCAGTCACTGTCTGTGAGATGTTTGTCCATTTCTCTCTCAGGACGTCCTGTAGTTTATCTCTGAATTCTGACACAGCCGCTGTCACATCCTCAAAGGACCTCAGAGGACAGATCTTGATGCTGGATGAGGGTGTAGATTCACTGAGTGGTGACAGTGAGGGGTAGTCGTGTAGAAACTGGTTGTGATCTTCTGTGTGTGAGAGCTTCTCCAGTTCAGCGTCTTTCCTCTTCAGCTCAGTGATCTCCTGCTCCAGCTTCTCCTGAAGCTCTCTGACTCGACTCACTTCAGTTTGCTGCTGGGATCTGACCTGCTGCTTCACATCAGAGCGTCTTTTCTCCATGAGACGGATCAGCTCAGTGAAGATCTTCTCACTGTTCCCCACTGTTTTATCAGCAGAGCCATTGATAGCCTCCACCTCCTGTTGGAGCAGCTTCACATCTTTCTCTCTGTCCTGGATTCTCTGCTGGATGTTTTGTCGACTCACCTCGAGCTCTCTCTGCTTCTCTTGCCTTTCTGCTGCAGCTGAGACTGTGTCATGACCTTTGTGTTCATCCACAGAGCAGAGATAGCAGATAGACTGCTGATCAGTACGACAGAACATCTTCATCACCTCATCATGACGAGAGCAGACGTTCTCCTGGAGCTTCTTGGAGGGCTCCACTAGCTTGTGTTTCTTAAAGACAGGTAGTTCATAATGAGGCTGAAAATGTTTCTCACAGTAAGAGGCCAAACATTGCAGACAGGACTTATAAGCTTTCAGTTTCCTCCCGGTGCAGACATCACAGGCCACATCTTCAGATCCAGCATAGCAGTGATCAGCAGGAGCAGCTTGGAGTCCAGTCTTCTTCAGCTTCTCCACCAAATCTGCCAACATGGTGTTTTTCCTCAGGACAGGCCTTGGTGTGAAGTCCTGCCTACACTGAGGGCAGCTGTAGATTGTCTTTTCATCCTCTTTATCCCAGTGGCTTTTAATACAGTTCATACAGTAACTATGTCCACAGGGAATAGCAACCGGATCCTTCAGGAGATCCAGACAGATGGAACAAGAGAAGGCCTCCCGGTCTAGTTGAACTCCTTTCTGCGCCATTTCTCCTCTCTGTAACGACGACTGTCTGAGTTTCACTTCCTTTGAAATCAGTAGTTTCACCTCTGATCTACACAGCATGTGTTTGTTCAGTGTCTGCTCTTGCACCGTCCCACATGTTGGTTACACCCATCCTCAAACTGTAGATCTAAAGGGGAGGGAACAAGAAAATAAACGTCAGAGTGGAGCTGGCTGTGTCTGAGAGCAGGAAGAAGAGGGAGGGGTTAACAAGCTCTGACTCATGTTTCATGCCTCTGACCAGGCAGATTCTCAACATGAATACATAACCTCTCTCTGTTGCATGGAAGAAAACTCTATAAGCAAGCATGTAAAAAACTCTAGTCACACATTTCCTAACATGTAAAAAGAATTTAATAAAACACAGAGAATAACTGAACTGTTTCTACAACTACTGTCTGAACAGAGCTACCTGTGAGCAGCAGCATTACAAGCTGTGAAAATCTGAGACACCACAGGGAGGCGTCAGGGTTCCACTGAACTTCACCACCATTAGAAGAGGTGTTTTCACATACTGGTGGTTCACATACTGGATTAAATACATTGACCTGACCTTTATTCCTTGTTTTTAACTATCAGATGGTCAAACTGATGATCAAGCAGATCATTGATGTTGTCTTTAGACATACTTCGCCTCAGATTGAAGTCATAATCCTGTTTCAAATACAAACCTACTGATTCCTACTGCTGCTTTAATTTACAAAGCCTCCCCTTGCAAAAGTCGGTTTGATTACAAGTAATGGAAGAATTTGAATATGTAGTAGAAGTAGTACACCGACAAAAAATACCTCAGTGTCCTTTTGTCGCTGCTCATTTGCTGATCCACGCTGCACAGGGCTGGGGAGCTCTTGCACTTGTATATTAGTGAAGGAGAGGGAACAAGGAAATGTGTGCACAGAGTGGAGTTGAGCAATAGGGAGGGGTTACCATGCTGCCCTCACTCATGTGATGAATTCTCTTAAAGGGAGAGTGTGAGTTTGTCAGTCTGAGTTTTATCGTGCAGTGAAGATTAAAAGACAACATTGAACAACCACATGATGTTTTTAAATAACTTACAGCTCACAATAGTTGAAGCAAACATTGAAAAGCTTCATGTTTGGTTTCCTCTGAAATCTACAGTTTCATAGAGCTGTTTTGTATAACTGAAAAAAGATTTCTTGTGCTCTTAAAGGAGAAGACAACACAGACAGTGTACAAACAAACAACAACATACAGATTCATAAAAGACGTAATGCTGCAATCGAGAGGTTAGACTTCGGAGAATTCATACAAAAGTACAATAAAATAGTACGCAGAAGTTTAAATTTGTGTTTCATCTGTGTATGTTTTTCAGGGTTCCACTGAACTTCACCACCATTGGAAGAGGTGTTTTCACATACTGGTGGTTCACATACTGGATTAAATACATTGACCTGACCTTTCTTCCTTGTTTTTGACTATCAGATGGTCAAACTGATGATCAAGCAGATCATTGATGTTGTCTTTAGACATACTTCGCCTCAGATTGAAGTCATAAACAGATTGAAGCTTATCTTTTAATAGTTTTACCGGTCAGTTTTAGAAGAGAAAATGACTTTCAGATGATTGTTTCTTAATTCTTGGCTTGCTGATGAGCTTTATGTCTGACATTTTTTTTTGTTGTTGCCTCCCTTCGTAAACAGCCAGTGACTACACCATGTATCCGTTCTCAACCCAAAATGGAAAAGACTTCCAGAATCTTCTCTCGGTCTATCTGGATGCAGCTTTCTTCCCGTGTTTACGAGAGCAGGATTTCTGGTGAGCCGTGACTGCTGCTTCTCATATTTGTTTCATGTTTGTATTTATTTGACTTGATAGCATTGTAGCAAAAGTCAACTTTTAAATATTCAGTGAAGATTCTGTCTTTATAGTCAGCTGTTAACTCTGTTAGTTGGACTGTTTGTCCTGAGGCTGGCTTCACACTAGGGGAGTTTAGGCCTGATTTTGGGCCTTTTATTTGTCCAAATAATCTTCAAGTGTGTGGTGTCAATACGTTTATTTTACAGCTCCTGATCGAGTCAGAGCCTCCCCGATCTGGAATCCTAAATACAAAACATGTTTGTTATTTACCGTTCCAGATCGGGCTGCCTCCGACTGAATACCTGCAGTAGCCAAAAAGAGAGCGAAGAGAGCATCACTTTTACAGCTCACAAACATGCCAGTGAACACAAACATAACTGTGCCCTGAGCCAAGAGGAATATAGAAAAAGAAGAGCAGCTTGAGTAACAACATGAGTGGCTTTTTAATGTCTCGACTGTCTTCCATATTTGTTTTTCTTCTGAAGTCACGTTTGATCACACGAGTTTCTGTGAGATCTCGTGTCTGTGGGATCACCACTGTCAACTCGTTTCTACAAACTGCAGGTGTGTGGTCTCACAGTCGGGTCAAATCGTCTAGTGTGTGCAGTCGGAGGATTATAATGTTTAGAATCATTTAGCTGTCCTTATGTCTTTGGTCTCCCACGTTTTTTAAATAGGTTAAGATCTGAATATTGTCGAGTGTGTAGCCAGCCTAAAAGAGTCCAAGACCTTTCTGATATCACTTGTTTGAAACAGTCGCTGATGAAATCTGCTCTTCACTAGTTCATTTCTGTTTGTGTTGATTTTGCAGGCAGGAGGGCTGGAGGCTGGAGAATGAAAACCCAACAGATCCCAACTCCCCTCTGGTCTTTAAAGGAGTGGTGTTCAATGAAATGAAAGGGGCTTTTGTAAGTCTACACTTTCCAAGTCACCTTTCTACACGTAGATACAATATAGTAAAGTGTTCTTTTAAGTAGCTTCAGATATCTCATATTTCTGCTGCTGTCCGTCCTGTCTCTATGACAACAGTCTGTTGACAACAGCTTCTGTATGACCGACACAGCTCCGTTGCTTTTCTCTGTTTGATATTTTTTATCTGTCACTTTGAGCCACAAACGGAGGATGCTTGACCTCCTACTTTGTCTAGATGATGAACTTTATGATCGGCTGGTTGAAAGAAAAGCGCCGGTGACGTCAACAGTGGCGTTGATTTTTAGTTTGAAGCGCTCGGAGCGGCTGCACAAATTAGGCAGAGCGCTCGGAAGAAAGGCGCTGGACGCTGCGCTTTGCTGCTGCTGCAAACACTCTCTCCTCATTGGGAACAATAGAACAAAGACACTCAGAAAAAGCTAACAAAAAAAAAAAATGCTAGGCGGACATGGGGCCTAATGCAACAGCAGTGAAACAAGTTCCAGATATGAGATGAACAGGTGACGTCAGATAAATGGTTTTGAAATAAGAGTGTGTCAGTGACTGTTAAACGTTTGATTGTGTGTTTTTTATTAGTCTGACAACGAGCGCGTGTACGCCCAGCACCTCCAGAACAAGCTGTATCCAGACCACACGTACTCTGTGGTGTCAGGAGGAGAGCCTCTAGCCATCCCTGACCTTACCTGGGAACAGCTCAAGCAGTTCCACGCCACGCATTACCACCCCAGCAACGCCAGGTACATGGACACACACACGTGTACACTGTGAGCCTAGAAGGGACAGGAAACTGTAAAGTGCTGTGAAGAAATGAGATGAGAGCAGGTGTTAGCCAGCAGAATCCTTTCTTTGTTACATTTAATAATCTCCTGCAGCAGAACGATGCAGGCTCACATTGACACAGTAGATATGAAACACAGGAAAATTTGATGGTAACTGATGCTAGTTTGTCTTTTTCATGCTTTATCGATCTTATTTATTTCAGAATGATCATAATTCCTTAAAAATAATTTAACATGCAGGCTTTAAAATTGCTCAGAAAACACCCCTGAGAGTGTCCTCCATGTGCTCCTCAGGTTCTTCACGTATGGAGATTTGCCTTTGGAGCAGCATCTGAAGCAGATCGAAGAGGAAGCTCTGTCCAAGTTTGAACGCATCAACCCGAACACAGAGGTCCCCCCCCAGCCACACTGGAGCAGCCCTGTGAGTGTCATAATCCAGACCAGCATCTGTAACTTCTACTGATCAATAGATCTTAAAAACTACACCAACAATCTCAACAGCTGTTTATTATTGCATGCTTTTTTATTAACACACTGAAATGCATTGATTAGTCGTTTTGATGTCGTCGTGAATCTCAATGGTTTCCCCAGAGAGAGGACCATGTGACCTGCAGCCCTGACGCTCTGGCTCCGGATCCGGCCCGGCAGAACACGCTGTGTGTGAGCTACCTGCTGGGAGAGTAAGACCGAAAATCATTTCTTTTTATTTTGCATTAAGATGGGAGAAGCCATAAAAAGAGCCTCCATCCTCCTCTTTATTCACTACATCTTGGTTGTCATGTCGACGGCTTTTTAAAGACTGAGAGCTTTACAGTACAGAAAGGATTCACTCAACAATTCTCTTCATTCAAAGTGAAGTTTTTAGCGAGTCCTATTGTTCAGAAATATTTAAAATCTCTTTGTTTTTTCCCCGCGCAGCATCACTGACACATTTGAAGGATTCACCCTCAGCCTGCTGTCGTCTCTCATGATCTCTGGACCCAACTCTCCCTTCTACAAAGCTCTCATCGAACCCAATATAGGAACTGACTTCTCCTCTGTTGTAGGGTGAGTACGCAGGACGCAAAGTAACAAACTCTCACAAATAAAATGATCAGCAAGCTCAGAGGTTATTTAGAGCGACGGCTGGAGAAGCAGCGAGGACAGAAGTTTGGTTTAATGTGGAGGACTTCTCTGATCCAGAGGCTCAACGACGGTCCAGAACCATTTGATCTGTCAGTGCTGAGACAGCCGATGGAGACGACAGAGAGGGGCAGGAGAGGATGGGGATGATGCCCCCTGGAGGATTTGAATGTTATGGCTCTAATGTTTTAAAATAAACATCCTCATTTTGGCACGTTTGTAAATATTTTACAGCCAGCCGCTAAGATTTCAGTTATTGTCAATCCATGCAATTCTCTAAACACCAGATAAGCCAATAGAAGAATGTAATTGCAGTAGCTGGGTTCAACCTGTAGAGGGCCGTAGCTATGCATATTTCTAACACAAAATGTGGAATTTAAATTTAGATACTTTGTACTCTGGGGGTTTAGTTACTCTTTAAAGACGGGTTTTCATCTATATGATTTTGCTAAGCTACTTAGATGACAACTTTCTTTTAGAAATGTCTATTAAAAGATAATTTAACATTTTAGTATATTGCTGCTGAGCTGTGATGCTCTGCCTCATGTGCTGCAGACAGCGCTCAGAGTACTGCATTGTTCTGAAATGTTGTGTTCTGCAGATATGACGGCAGCACCAAAGAGGCGTCGTTCAGTATAGGACTGCAGGGAATGGCCGAGGAGGACACCGAGAGAGTGAAGCAAATCATCAGCCAAACCATCAACGACATCATCGAGTAAGTCCCACGCTCCCTTTTGTATTTAAGACTTTAATATATGTTTACAAACCTGCTCTCTCTAAGTGTCAGCTTGTTTTGATAAAGCCATAAACTGTAAGGTCTACTTGCACATGAAGGATGATGAGTTGCTTGGTTACATGAAATTGAAACGGCACATAAGATAAAATGAGTCCTCGTCATCATCGACAGGAGCGGCTTTGAGGAGGAAAGAATCGACGCTCTCCTGCATAAGATCGAGATCCAGATGAAGCACCAGTCCACAAACTTCGGCCTGTCTCTGGCCTCGGTGAGTTCACAAACACAAGGACACTGCATGTATTTATAAACCTCTATGTGTGAGATATGTCAGGAAGAATGATGATGTTAGTTATGTTGTCTCTGCTGAAATCTTGTGTTTCTACCACTATATACTCTGTGTATTTCTATACAAATACAGAATGTTTTAAACATGTCTAAACGTATGAGATGAGCTTGTTTTCACAGCAGTTTATTTGCTGATTTCTTCCTTTTTTTGATGAGTTGCAGTAAACTCAATAATCACAGAGAGTATAATATTTAAAGGGATTACACATGTGTATGAGAAGTAAAGTTTTAATCACTATACATCAATGTAAGAGTCAAACAGGACACTTAGATTAGCTTTATTTTGTCAGTAATGTTATAATCGCTTTGTGGATTCTGCTGCATGTTTCACATGTCGGTTTCATTATTCATGGCTGTTTGTGTATGTATATACATTTTTGTTTTTTCTAGTACATTGCGTCATCGTGGAACCACGACGGCGACCCGGTGGAGCTGCTGCAGATCAACGACAGCGTTGCCAAGTTCAAACAGACCCTGAAGGAAAACCCTCGCTTCCTCCAGGACAAAGTCAAGCACTACTTTAAGGTGTGTGACACTGGGAAAGTACTTTTCTTCAAAACATCCAGAAATATGTGAAAAAAAGGTTTAAAAAAAATACAAGAATAAACCTTTTACAAGTCTCACTAATGTTCTCTGTAGGGGAAATACTCGGTCTGCTCTTAAGGTCAACCTCAGCAGCCCTGGAGTGTTTTAAGATCATGACAAAAAAACATGAACTTTGAAGGTTTTCTGTATCATTTGTGTTTTTTCTCTTCCTCTTCAAATCCCCATTACCCCCCTACAGGAGAACACACACAGACTGACCCTGTCCATGAGTCCGGATGAGGTCTACTTGGAGAAACAGGCCAAAGCCGAGGAGGAGAAGCTCCAGAAAAAGATCCATGCTCTGTCAGACAGCGACAAAAAAGACATCTATGAAAAAGGTACAAATGATTGAAACTGCTCCACGGAGGAAATCTGTGTTTCTCTGCTTCTGTTAAAACACTTTCTGAGCTTGACTCTGTGAAATCACACAGAATTGTCTGAAGCAAACAGGCTTTTATTGGCTGCTTGATTGATTTGATTGAAGCCCCAAAAAATCCAATAAACCATCAGATTAACACAATAACTGGGAAAAAAACATCAAGCGCTGCAATGTGACTGTATACAGAATATATTCATGTTGACCTGTTCTAGATCCCTCATTTAGTCATATAGTGTTACAATGCTGCATGTTCAAACTAAACATAGGCAGAGTTATAGAGCATGAGGTAAACATATGTTGGAGTAATCCCAGGATGAGTCAGCAGAGGGCGCTAAACGGCTTGAGGTGTTTTTATTGACGCCAGTATCAGATAAATAAGATGTTTTTTGAGCTGCAAATCATTCAAAGCTGCTCTATAAGTTTTCAAAGACAGACAAAAGTGTTACTGAATTGAGTGTCATTTGCCAGTTTTAGTCCGAGGGGGTGAGGAGTTGCCTTAAATATTAAAAACCGTCTTTGAGGGGACTTGTTAGAAACATTAAAGTACAGAGATTTACTGATGGAAAACCATAAAAGAACATTTCACCTGCATTCACTTTTCTGTTTATGACCCAACCAGTAAAACTTGTTGAAACATTTCAGAAGGATTTGATTGAGGCACTTCTGATTTAACTGTCTGTTTCATATTCATGTTCTTCTTCTTCTTCTTGGGAAAAGGTCTGGAGCTGCTGGCTGCTCAGAGCAAAACGCAGGACGCCTCCTGTTTGCCGGCGCTGAAAGTGTCTGACATTGAGCCCACGATCCCTGTTACTCCTGTTCAGATCAGCACAGCAGGTACGGCCCAGTGTCCGCTCTACACAAGTTTATAAAACATTATACACAACAAGGAAGAATCATCTCAGAGTGTTGTGGTTAAAACCCCTTAAAATGTTTCCTCTCCTTGTCTCCTTCAGTCGGCGTACCGGTGCAGTACTGTGAGCAGCCCACCAACGGGCTAGTTTACTTCAGAGCCATGTGCAGTCTCAACACACTGCCGGAGGACCTCAGGCTCTATGTCCCGCTCTTCTGCAGCGTTGTCACCAAGTAAGTTCACCTGACAGTCGATTGGACCAGAGCAAGATTTCAAAATGTGTCACCTGGTATATGAAAAGTTTGAAGATATTATGCTTTATTGATCTTTTCTGTATTTGTGTAAGGTTTGGACAGGTGGTGTTTGAAAGCATTTTAAAGATTGCATGTGTGTCTGTTTGTTAAATCAGGATGGGCTGTGGAGGTCTGGACTACAGACAACAGTCCCAGCAGATGGAGCTGAGGACTGGGGGCATGTCTGTCTCCACCCAGGTCGTCCCTGACTCCACCCAGCTGGACATGTACGAGCAGGTCAGTACCAGCTTACTGTGTTTGAAAAGTCTTACAAATATATGGATAGAAGTAATGTTTGGACAGAGACATTTCTGGACAAGAATACTTTAGATGATGTAGGGAGTGAGTCTGAGCCTGAAGGCAAAGCTCTCCATTTACCGGTCACCTATGATCATGAGCTATGGGTAGTGACCGAAATAATAAGATGGTGGATACAAGCGGCTGAAATGAGTTTCCTCCAGAGGTCGGCTGGGCTCAGTCTTAGAGAGAGGGCGAGGAGCTCAGACATTCTGGTAGAGCTCAGAGTAGAGCCGTTTCTCCCTCAAATCTAAAGGAGCCAGTCGAGGTGGTTCGGCCATCTGATTAGGATGCCACCTGGACGCCTCCCTTTGAGGTCTTCTGAGCACGCCCCAACTGGGAGGAGACCCCGGGGGAGACCCAGAGTTTACTGGAGGGATTACTGTGTATATCCCCACTGGCCTGGGAACACGTCAGAATCCCTCAGGAGGAACTGGGGAGAGAGAAGTCTGGGTTGAATTACTACTGCTGCCACAGAGACCTGACCTTTGATAAGTGGAAGAAAATGGATGAATGGAGTAATGAAGTATGCTGCTCCATGTCAGGTTCCTTCATATATGACATCACATGTAATTTAGTAACTTTATTCTATATTAATTAAATGTTTGTTCTTTATTATGATGATTCTTGTGCATTGTGGAAACCCATCTTCTTTCTGCTGCGTCGTCTTCAAAAATCAAATGTCTCCTCAAAGCTGCAGAAATTGAAACTGAGTGATCGTGTGTTACATAAACAGAGGTTGTGATTTATCTTGGTTCAGTGTTTAACTGCTGCTGGTTACATTACATCGGTATAAAACAGGTAATCAAAGAAGAGTCTTGTCTCTGTGTTCTCTGTTCCAGGGTGTCCTCCTGTCCTCCTCCTGCCTGGAGAGAAACCTTCCTCACATGTTTCATCTGTGGAGCGACATATTCAACAAGTACGTCCTCCATCACTTCTTATAAACTGAGAGAAAATGTGTCCTGAAATTCGAGGAGGCTGAGAAGACAGCTCGATATTTATCTTTTTTTTTTTTTTTTCCACTACAGCCCCCACTTTGACGAGGTGGAGCGCCTGAGAGTGCTGGTGATGATGTCAGCACAGGAGTTAGCCAATGGGATCTCCTACTCGGGCCACATGTACGCCATGACACGTGCAGGCCGTCACCTGACTCCAGCAGGAGACCTCAATGAGACGCTTGGTGGGATGGAACAGGTATGCACCTGGAGTGTTGATCCTAAAAAACTAAAATGATAGTGTCTGACTCCTGCACGTCAGCTTTAAGAAGTGTTGTCATAGTGATTTAAAGCTTGAAGTAAATTACGCAGACGCAGATTCAAGACATACAGTATAGCATGATTTTTTCTGACAAGCAGAGACAATTTCATTTGTTCCTACTTTGTGCAAGAGGTTTTTTTTTTTCCATTCTCTCGCTTCATATTTTATCCATCTTTTATCAATGATTACTTCAGGTGAAGTTTATGAAGAGGGTCGCTGAGTTGTCCGACCTCAGCCAAGTCATCCGAACGCTCGTCAGGATCAAGAAGCATCTTCTCAACCCGGACAACATGAGGTGAGATGTTACACCTGAGGAGAGGTTTTCTTTTAAAAGGTTTTGTTTTGGGGCTTTTTGGGCCTTTATTTTAGAGACAGGACAGTGGACAGAGTCAGAAATCAGAGAGAGAGAGAGAGAGAGAGAGAGAGAGAGTGGGGAAAGCAGGAAATGAGCCACAGGTCGTCCGCTTGGAGGACTACAGCCTCCACACATGGGGCGTCCACTAACCACTAGGCTATGGTCGCCTCCATGGTGATAGATTTTTGAATGATGAAGAGATAGTGACAGTATTCTGCAGTTAATGTTATTTTAATTACTGCAACATGGTTTCAATATAAAGGGTCTGTTTGTAACATGCTCGTCAATGTAAATGTTTGTCTCTTACAGGTGTGCGATCAACACTACT